ATCTACAGGGTGTACGCGCAATACAAAAACAAACACTGTAAAATTAAATTCTTGCTACCTTCATTTTTTTTCTTTTTTTAACTTTTTATATTTCAACCTACATAATATGACTAAAATATTAACTTATACTTTGTACAACTAAACAGTTTTTTGAAACCTGATTAAAAAGTTAAAGTACCATAATAAATTTTGTTGTCATGGCATTATCATTTTTTGAGCACACAAATTCTCAGTTGTCAACTGCAGGTGCAGCGCAGGCGCCAAACTCAGTTCCTGGAGAGGCGCAGCTCCGCAGCTTAGTTCCAACCCTAATTAAACACACCTGATCAAACTAATTGAGTGCTTCAGGCTTGTTTGAAACCTACAGATAGGAGTGTTGAAGCAGGGCTGGAACTAAACTCTGCAGGGCTGCAGCCCTCCAAAAATTGACTTTGACACCCCTGCGCTACAGCGTGAGACATAATATGTGGTTATTTAAACATTTCAAGAACACACTGAATGTGAAGTAACTCCAGACCTTGACTCAGTACCCACATCATCATCCAGCAGCTCTGTCGTCAAGCACATCCCTCCCAAAAAAAAAAAAAACATCCATTCTGCTTGCAGTTCCAGTGCAGTTTTGGTGCTGCTCAGGCGGTGGAGCGCGAGGATTGGTGAAGATCGGGGTGACTTGACAGTGAAACCTCTCTTCATTGATTCACTGGAGTTGACTTTCTTTAGGTGGAGTCTGAAAGCACCAGAGCATAAATCACAGCAGCTGGATGCAAAAACCAGACCTGAAAAAACAAATTGAATAAAGCAATATCTATTTTAAATAAACAACTATTACTTATGGCATTGCAGCATGGGTTTAATTTTTATTACAAACGAATACCCCCAAAAACAAACAAAAAGGAGGTTTACTTACTTCAGTGCATGAACCTGAAAAGAATTATGTCGAGCTCGCAAGCTCACGGAAAACAGAAACGTAATGATTTGGCCAGTGCAACTCTAACTGCAAAACGATCAGGCAGGAGACATATCGACCGCCCGCGCGAGCGTGTTTGTTTGTAGTATGCATACATGTTGTTCCTCCACATACACAGTTGGTGCAGGCAGTGGGCCAAACTGGGAGTGGGCTGCTGACTCAGCCACCAATGGTGCATTCATTTATCTGCACTGCAGTGCTCCGCCGCACCCTCTCTCTCCTCTCCGTCTTCCCCGCTCAGTTTCAGTCTCCACCTCGCCTCGCACACGCTGGACCGGGGGGCGGCGAGACTCAGACAGACATCTTAAGATAAAGACCAGGTCCGAATCACGCGTGGCTCGTTCACGGATGGGTTGGGGTGGGATGTCACGCGTCGTAAGATTTGGCGATAGAAGAGCGAAATCAGGAGAGCAAACCATGTGACTTGCAGAAAGGGGAGCAGGGACAGAATATTGCTCAGCTCCAAAATGGAGGAAAAGCGAGGAAAAGGTTTAAATATTAGCTCGAATGTGGTTCACATTGTGCATGCTTTGCTTTATATTCTTTATTTCTTTTATTTTATTTTATTGGGTATCCACCGTCCCAGCCACAGAAAAAAGCCAACCTAAACCATCTAATAAAATTCTGACTTTCTTATATTTTAAGTGAAGCTTTACATTTAAATATAGGCCTACATTTTACAGAGCTAGTGCTAGTATTTACTTGTGCATTATAGGCCTATTTCTAGGTTAAAATCATAATTGGTATCTACTTCCATGTATACTCAGAAGAAAAAACAGTTGCCATCTATATTAGCTATGCTGTTCTTAAATGTCAGAAGTCCTGAGATCCTGTCCTTTTGGAAAATTACCCATTTACCAATATATCCCTGAATTACAGCATTAGACACTGCAGCAACCCAAAATCCAATATGGCTGCCCGTATCAACAGAAATGAAACAGTAAGATTTTGTTTGTTTGGCATTTTCTTTTTTTTTTCAACCACTAAAACGTTCTGTCAGCATGATTTATTTTAATAAATGTTTATCTAACATTTATTCACCATTCATGCAGCATCTAGTTCCAACTTTGAGTTTTGTGAGGAACAAAAATAAAGAAAAAAAGTGTTTGATTAAAATTAAAGAAAAAAGAAAATTTGAAAAATGTTGGTAACCAGTAGACACTGACATTCGTACCCAGCAAGCATTTTTTTGTTGGCTAAAACAAGGCTAAATTTGGGCTGTCAGTGAAAATCTAATAGACATCTAAATAGGCCAAAACTAGACTATCATCAAATAAACAGAAATGAATGACTACACATATAAAGTCTGTCTAATTTGTCAAATTTGACGGCTAGTCTAATATTGGCCTATTCCTAGATGTCTATTAGATTTTCACTGACAGCCCAAGTTTAGTCTTGTTGTCAAACTGTCTACGTTTAGATGACTATTAGACATCTACTAAACACAAAATTGTTTGCTGGGTGGTAGGAAAAAATATAAGCTACTATTCTTCAAAATGTCTTATGTGTTCAATATGTTCAACAGAAGAGATAAATTTAAAGATTTAAAATGTGATCCTTCACGAGAGTAAATGATGACAGAGGTTTCATTACTTAAGCAGCTGTAAAACACCCAGTTGAAGCAGGCTACCACTTCTTTGGAGATTCTGAAGTGTGCATCCAACAAGTACTATCCCATGAAGCCATAGAAGATTTGTGAATGGCAAAGAAGTAACACAACTGATGCCTTAGGTCACATGGCTGTGATAACATGGTTTATCATGTGTCACAATTTAGTTCATAGTAGATAGATTCGTGAAACATACTTGCATCTCATCTACTGTATTATTATATGTGATTTTTCGATGCAGCCCTTTGTTATCTATGGTTTCAAGGTCCCACAAAATTCAAAGGCCAAATGAATGATCTAGTTGTTCATAATTCTCTAGATAAACTTTAAAGATAATGATCATTTAAAATACATGCTACTAAAACATTTCCCAGCAAACAATTTTGTTTAATAGACGTCTAATAGACATCTAAAGTAAACAGCTTGGCTAAAACAAGGCTAAGTGAAAATCTAATAGACATCTAAGAGTAGGCCAAAACTAGACTTCAAGAGTTACCACTTAGCTGATGATTGATAATAAAGCGTGTTTGACATGCTGTCCATGGAGAGCCCTGAGCCCAGATTATCCTTGAGCCCGAGGCTCCCTCCCGTTTGAAGGATGAGAGGAGTTTGAGCTCAGGTAGGTATATATCTGGCTATTAGTTGCCTTAGGCTGTTATTTTGAAGTATTCAATTTACTTATGGTATAAGTCTTTGGAGAGTGGGAGGAAACTGGAGAACCCAGGGAAAACCCACACAAAACACGGGGAGAACATGCAAACTCCGCACAGAAACGCCGACCGGCTCGAAGAGGGCCGAACTAGCGGCGTTCTTGCTGTGAGGCAACAGTGCTACCCACTGGGCCACCCTATTAGAGAAGGGGAGGAGTAGGGGTAGAAGCGGGGACAAGACAAAGATGACTGGAGTAGAAAACTAGTAATTTATAATGTGTCAGTATTTATCTGATTGGTGTGAATATACGGAGCTGATGTGGTACCAGCCATGTTTAATCATAACCACGTGGTCCTCTCGAAATTAGTTCATAAATAAACCACACCAGTCGTCAAATCAACAGATTAGAAAGACTTTATATGTGTAGTAGTCATTCATTTCTGTTTATTTCAGGACTAGTTTTGGCCTATTCTTAGACGTCTATTAGATATTCACTGAGAGCTCAAATTTAGCCTTGTTTTAGCCAAGACGACTAAGTTTAGACGTCTATCAGACATCTTCTAAAAACAAAAAAGCTTGCTGAGATCTATTAGTACCCATGCGTTTTTGACAACCCTATAATCTTTCCAAATATAGATCACAGATCATTTTAGGCTTTCAGGTTAGTCAAGACCATAGCTGAGGTGATAATTATACATAAACTATTAAATAATTTAGTTGTGGTTTTGAATTTTTTGCCGTTTTGAGCCCCCATACTGATAATCATTCATTCATAAATGTGATTCGGTTCTCAAAATCAATTCACCAACATGTAGTGTGAGCAAACAAAGTCTAGAGTAAACGATCACTTACAGTATATTTGTGTGGAAAAGAATGATATGCATTCAAAATATTCCTCTACGGTCACACAACAATGAACATGAGAGCAACTGTATTTTCTTCACAGACTCAAGTAATTCTTTGACAAATGCTGCACTGGTAAAAGCACAAATCAATTCAACCAAGAGCTAGTAGTTGGGATGCAAACCCCCTGAGGTTAGACGAGGAGGCAAGTCAGATGAGTGTCATTGATACTTAAGCTTACAGCTAATAGCTTTCTATTGATCTCTCTGCTAAACCATGACTTACTAGATGAACAGGGGCGCTTTCATTGCTTGTTTAGAAGTCCATGTTATTAGCGCATCTCATGCCTATCCTCAATTGAAAGTGTATATTTTAATATAGTCAAACTCTAAATGGCAGAATTCACACAAAATGATGGGTTTGATACTAAATGGGTTTGGAAAATCTCAATATTGTTTCCATGTGGAAATCAATGAGTTTCAACGTTGTTTTTAAAACAGATATAGTTATGTTGGGTGACACAGTGGTTAGCACTGTCGCCTCACAGCAAGAAGGTCCCTGGTTTGAGTACCAGCTGGGCCAGTTGGCATTTATTTCTTTGTGGAGTTTGCATGCTGTCCCTGTGTTTGCGTGGGTCACAGTCCAAAGACATGCTATACAGGTGAATTGAATAAACTAAAATTGTCTAGTGAATGTGTCTGAATGAGTGTGTATGGATGTTTCCCAGTATTGGGTTGCAGCTGGAAGGGCATTTGTGTAAAACATATGCTGGATAAGTTGACGATTCATTCGACCCCTGATAGATAAAGGGACTAGGAAAAATGATTGAATATAGTGGTGTTCCTGAGAAGATACTTTTGCAGTCCTTAAGGACTAATTATGTGATGCATGAGCTAAATGTGCATTCAACAAAAAGAGTGACGACTCTGTGCAACTGGAAAGCTGCTTTATTGTTAATAAAAAGTTTCGTGCTCAAATGAAGACAATCTTTTATATGTTCTTACTAAGAGTTCCAGTGGTTGTGCCATACACACCATTATATGTCCTCCTACAACACTGTGTCAAACAAAACAACAGTTTGAAAAGCACTTTTGAAATCTTTTCAGCAAAAATGGAAAGCATTTTAGTCATGCTAAAGATGGAAGTCCAGTAACTGAATACTGATACAAAAGTGAGTTTCAAAGATGAAAAAACCAAACCCAAAAAAAACCAACACAAAAGTCTGAAGGCAAGCTATACTTGTTTTGTTTGTGTTTTCTCTTTTTTACAAGCCAAGTGGATGATACACAAAATACAGAAAACAGAACATCAGAAGATTTCGTAACATCAAATCTGGAAGAAGTGGGCTTGTTTTCTTGGTTGGTTTCAGTGTTCCTCTGGCAGCACACCAGACGCCTTTTTCAGACTATAGTCCCTGATTTGCACTGTGCTCCATTTTGTGTTCTCCTGTCTTTCCCCCACTATCAACTACATGTTAAATATGGCACCATCCTCCAAAACTGCAGTGAAATGCAATTCAGAAAATGTAGGAACATGGAGAAATTTCAGAAAAAGGCACACGACAATTAGTGAAGTAACACTAGAAACAGATCACTGAACACATAAAAACCGGATACGAAATGCATACAAAACTGTTGTTCAGGCCCATACTGTAAGTACCAGCGGCACTGAAGTGTTCGGGGAGGCCTTAAGAATAAAATATTTCAACTGCTCTGTGACTGTTTTGGACTTTTAGGCTCGGGTGGGTGACCACACAATGTCCATAGGCAGGACGGCGCATATATGTGCATTCACGTGTAAATGTGTGTGTGTCTGTGTGTTTGTACGCGTGTCAATAAAACCTCAAGGTTACAGAGGTGTGCTGGTTGCATAACCCTCTTGTCATACAGCATCAGGTTAGAATATCCAAGCAGCGCTGATAACAAACGTGCGTGATTTTGTCTCCAACATCATCTTTTTTCGACATCCACTGGACATGTTGCATATAAATGAAATATTACAGTGCTCCTTTTGTATATCCTTTCATACATATATTTCATATATATATATATATATATATAATATATATTATACATATATTATACATATATTCTTTGTCAAATAGAATATTTTTGATACATTTTATCATTCATTTCCCTTTAATAAAAGTGAAACGAGTAAAAAAAAAAAAGGAAAAAATAAAATAAAATATGTGACAAGGGCATCAGCTGGAAGCCATTCTATATCATCGTTATAATTTATTATTAGATTAATAGCAGTAGTTCTTTAAAATTCTGTATTTACAAAACCCACAACAAAGCATGCCATTTAAAAGAAAATAATATATTACAATGCTTATAGTTTTCCTCGAAAAGTTCATTCTTTTTCAGCAATTGTGCCATGTACATCATAGCCCCCTCCTGTACATTGAATGATACATTAACTTGTCATACAGTGAGTGAGAGTGGTTTATCATTTCACATCTGAACTAAAATGGGAGTAGGAGGAAAACTACATGGTAGTCTAAGTGTTTCACCAGGCTTCATTTGGTTTAAGTCCACAGCACCCCCACGGATTTCGAGATCTCAGGCAGTAAGCAGACCTACAGGTCTGAGAAGTAGAGGAAGTGGGTTTGTAAACTGGCGCGATTCTCCCGCACTCCAGCTCTGGCGGCGTACATCTACTGACCCTGACACTGGGCTAGCCCACACCAGAATAAGCATTCTCACTGAACAAGGGGTGATGAAACGATAAACAAACGACTTCTGTTGCAAATCGAATACATTTCCATTGCACCCAGAGCAGAAAGGGATGGCAGTTTGCTCAAGAGGTAGCAACTTGACACATGAAAAAACCAATTTGTAGCATCATCATCAATGGCTAACACAAACTGCATGCTATCAGACAACACAAGTACCCAATACTTCATTCTTCAATGTCCACTCTCCTTGTATCCTGCTGTGTATGACATGTAAAACCCAAGCTATACTCATCCGTCACTCAACAGGGAGAAAGCTAATCATGTCTACAAGATGCATTCAAAATGGCTACTCGGGTGCTTTCCTCGTCATTTTTAAGACACAACACGATGCTAACGCAACTGACGACCCCTTTAAAATGGTAAACATGAAAATGTGCTGACATGAAGACAATTGAAGAGATCGCCTCCCGCTGAGGCCTGACCAAGCATTGTAAGGGTTTAAATGGCATGGTGGCTTGGCTGTACCTTTTGAAGTCCTAGTGAAGGCCCAACTGGAGCCTCAGCTGCACATCGAGGGGCAGTTGAATAATATTGCTGGTGCAAAAAAGCAAATCAAGGTTTATGAACCCAAGATTTGATTCGAATGAAATTGAGTTCTCCAAATTTTCATCCCAACTTCTCCTCAAGTCCAGGGCAGTGAAACACCCGTAAGGGTGTAGGAATGTGCAGTTGCCACACTGTATATCCAAACAAAGGAATAACTTTGATCGACCACCTTAAAAGTACACACATGACGCATGGTGTAAAAACTGGTTAATCAGGAAGCAAGCTTCATGTGGGGTAAGTATAAATATACTTGTCATAGCCAGAAGTTAAATATGTTGCTATTGACCAATCATTTCCCAGCTATATCTATTCAATTTGATTACTAGTGGACATCATCGAATGTATGGTCAAGCCACTGATGTGGTTTGAGTAGCAGTGTCAAGTGGACTATGATTATACATGCATGATTCCTGATCAAAACATGCCACCATGCAAGTCATTTCTATGCATTGAACGAGCACAATTAGTTATTTATTTACCAGGAACTCGGTCTGAGTAAGTCCTAATCAGCCCAAGTCAAAACCCTGATAGATTCCCTAACCCAATATCGATGTGAAAGCCCATGTATAAAATGTCTTTTTTTTTTAGTATAACAAAGAGATGATGACGAGATGAATGGGCTGAACGTTTTCCCCTACTTTCTGTGGATCAAATAAGGTGAAATATTCATCACAACAACTGAAAACCCTTGCATAATGTTCTGTTTTTTTTGTTTGTTTTTTTCGGCAGACACTCCACATGATTGAGTTAACATCATTATTATTGGTTCTCCTATGGTTAAAATACAAAGTCCCAGAATCCTCCTGGGATGAGTGGGAGGTTTCCGTCGGATTTCGGCAGTGTAGTGTTTGAACGGGATGTCCGTAGCGGAGGAATGCTGAACTCCACACACATGTGAGTGCAAAGGAAGCCATCTTATGAGCTTGCTTTGTACTAGTTTGTCCATTGGCAGGTGGTCCCTATCAAAGATTTCTGCCATGGATTGTTATTTAGTTTGTCCTTGTAAGTGCCTTTTGGCCGCAGTTGGAACAGTAAAATCTTGGTCACTTAGCACAAAATGTAAGACAGTAAGCTCATAAGTTGGTTTGGTCATCATTGAATCTTGTAAAAACCAAGCTGCTTTCCTGTTGCACCGGTGCATTTGTTGTATGTAAACAACTGTTTTGCTCAAAGATATCAGTGTTTTTTGTTGCAAATTTTCTTCTATACATTTTGTTGGAATAGATAGTTTAAGTCTCAACTAGACAGTGTCCATCGTTCCTAAAACTTGGATTCCTTGACATCTTTTTGGTTTTTGCCCTTTTTGCCCTTACTGTCACTCTCCTCCAACTTCTCCTTCTCAGGTTTGGTCACACTGTCGTAGGATGGCAGTGAGGCAGTGGAAGGTGTGCCCTCTTTCTTGTCCTGATTAGTACCACCATTCTCCAGCCTGCTGCTGCTGAGTAAACGCTTGCAGATGAAGCCTTTCCGAATCAGATGGGCACGGAAAGCACGCTGGATGACTCCAGCAGACATATGCTCCTGTTTGCGGCGCAGGGTGGTAGTGATGGGCTCAAAAGACACTTTGGAAGGATTGGCAGCAATAAAACGCTCCTCCATCTGTTGCCGCATCATGTCCAGGTCGCCGCTATCACCCAGCACGCGTTTGGTGAATGCAAACAGGATGTCTAGGCAGTGAATGCGGTCGCCGCTCACCATTGGCAGGTCCATGGCGATCAGCTCTATAGTGTTGGGCTTAGGAACACGTAGTGGGTGCTCCAAAGTGTCGGCGAAATCACCCAGCTTGGCAAAAGTGATAAACTGGGAGGCAGTAGGATCAAACTTTTCCCAGATCTCATAGAAGGACTCAAAGTCGTCCTCGCAAAGAGGGTCAGCACTCTCCTCTGTCGCGACGCTGAAGTTCTCCAGAATAATGGCGATGTACATGTTCACCACGATGAGGAACGAGACAATAATATACATGACAAAGAAGAAGATGCCCACCGAAGGGTTTCCACAGTTACCTTTAACACTAGTACCTGGATTTTCTTTAGTTGGCTCACAATCTGGCGGGTAGTTGAGAATGGGAGCGAGAAGGCCGTCCCATCCGGCTGAGGTGGTTATCATGAACAGGCAGATCATGCTATTGCCAAATGTTTCAAAGTTATACATGTCATCTATGCCAGACTCCCGCTTCACGTAGGCAAAGTTTGACATGCCAAAAATAGAGAAAATGAACATAACCAAGAACAGCAAAAGGCCAATATTGAACAGGGCCGGCAGTGACATCATCAAGGCAAACAGTAAAGTCCGAATGCCCTTTGCTCCTTTGATCAGACGCAAAATACGTCCAATTCGAGCCAGACGGATTACCCTGAACAATGTTGGTGACACAAAGTACTTCTCAATCAGATCAGCCAGGAACATACCTGTTGTTTTTGGGGAAAAGAAACAAGCAGAACACAACATAAGCTAAATTTGTATTGTTTCAAAGCCAAAATGAAGAAGGTTAAGAAACTATGTTCACCTACCAACGATAGAGAGAATGACCACAACACAGTCAAAGATGTTCCAGCCATTGGTGAAGTAATAATGACGCAGCGCAAAGAGCTTCAGGACAAACTCTGAAGTGAAGGCCACAATAAAGATGAAGTTGATCCAGTACAGAATGTTTTCCGTCTCCTGTGATTGATCATCTGTCTCAACCATCATGGTGACCATGTTCAAACAGATGAGGATCATGATGGAAATATCAAAGACCTGCTGTGTCACAAAGTCAAACACCATACCCTGGAGCTTGTTCTAAACAAGAGAAAAAGATCACATATTATAACTCCACTCAAGTCAATTTAATGAGAAAAGAATCACTTTTCAACTGTGCTGTACACACCTGGGGTCTGGGTATGGGCTTCTGAGGTTTCTTTGAGCCAAGCTTTTTCATTGCATTGTAGTACTTTTTCTGTTCCTCAGTCATGAAGATATCCTGACCTCCAAAGTATAGCCATAAACAATATTTGGTTACAATCTAGTAAAAGAGACTGTGAAAATTATACAGAATGCAAAGTGAAGGCAAAAAGTGAAGACTTATCTTTTTCTTCTGCTGGTTGAAGTTATCAATAATCACACCAATGAAGAGATTGAGGGTGAAGAAAGAGCCAAATATAATGAAGATGACAAAATAGATATACATGTAGATATTGTCTTCATACTTCGGCTGGTCTTCCACCTGAGAAGAGAATGAAATTTGAAATGGGTGCTTGGAACTCACTTACTCACGACTAATTGGCATTTAAAACTCTACAAACAAATTACCCTTCGTGAGTCAACTGCTGCATACATGATGTCCATCCATCCTTTAAAGGTTGCCTAATAGGGAGAATCAGTATGTTAATTTAGCTGTTCAACACAAAGCTTTTTCTGTAGCCAGTATACCAACTTTATAGGAACTAAAATTGTGAGACAGTCTTACCACTTGCAGAAGAGCCAGGTAACCAGCACCCACGTTGTCAAAGTTGATTTTGACGTTCTTCCAACGCACCTCAGTGTAGTTTTGCTCAATTAACGCAAAGCACTCAGATTTGTTGTTGACCACATCTAGCTCAAAGTATGCCTTTTCAGTCTCGTTGTAGCAGTAGTAGTACTTTCCCGCAAACATATTGACACCCATGATACTGAAAATCAGCCAAAAGATGAGGCAAACCAGCAACACATTCATAATGGAGGGGATGGCACCCACCAAGGCGTTGACTACCACCTAGAGCAGAGTAGGACAGACAGGGTGATACAGTGTAAGAGACTGGAAATTGCCCCCAGACACAGAAACACACATCCGAACGCTCGCACAATCATGGCTGCATATTTGCATGGCACAACAATTAAAGACTGAAACTGCGTGCACTTCTCAAGTGGTCAATCATGAATAAAAATTGGACTATATCTTATTCAAACTCCAATCAGATGGCCACCCAAGAAAACTGCTTGAAGCGCATGTCTTAACGTTAAACATGTTTCCTGGTTTGTTTCTATCATTCAGATTGACTTTTTGCTAATTTCCCACACTGCCGGCAGATTCAGGCCACGGACTAGTGCTAATATTTAAAGTCTCACATTTTGACTTTTTATTTTATTTGCAATTTGTTTAGGCCCGAATTAGCAAACCATAAAGGTTGCATTTCCTAATTCAAACCCAAGGTATTTTTTTTAAGTATTAAAAAAGGTCAACTTGCTTTATATAAAGCTGCTGACGGGCATTATTGTCCTTTATGGTCAAATATTATTCATTTATATTCCAATTTTTGCACATACACTATTGTCTGATTAGTCTGATATAATCAAAACTAGTGTTTAACATAAAGCAATATTTTTTTTAAACAAAACCAGAATACTATTCTCTTTAACTTGCAAACTGGAAGGCAAACCTTTAAATTATTTAATATTAAAGGTATAGTTCATGCAAAAATGACAATTTTGCCATCATTTACTCACCCTTGACTTGTTCCAAACCAGTTACTGTATTTTCACACTGGTTACTTGTAACCATTGACATCCATAGTAGGAACAACAAATACTGTAAATGGTTATAGGTTTTCAACATCCTTCAAAATATCTTCTTTTGTGTTTACCAAAACTGCCAAAACCAAAATCTCAAGGGTGAATAAATGATAGTAGAAATGTCAAGTTTAGGTGAATTGTCTCTTTAAAGGCTTTATCTCAAAACTGCAGTTTAATGGGTGACAGCTTGCTGATCATATGCGTATGTTTAGCAAACATACAGCTTGTTGATACTGTATGCCAGTTTATTTATAAATATGAATCCATAAGCAAAATTATGATCATAATCAGACGTTGCAGACTTTAAGTCTTGCAAATAATTTTGTTGGATTTGTAAACTTATTTCCCTTCATTAATATGTGTTTTGGGAAGAGGACTTAACTAGACATGCTCTCAACACGAATAGCTTTAAATTACTGTTTTCTTTGGTGGCCTACAGCAAATGCTACTCCTTGCATATAATAATTTCAATTAACCATATAATCTTTAACTCCCCCCTCTTTTTATTTTAATAAGTTTATTTATTTATTTTTTTTTTATCTAATTAGATTGTTCTATACACTGGTCCAAACTACCCCAGCACTGTACAATGTGGACAGCATCTAAAATTACCTACTGAATTAGATAAAGAACTAGACTGTACTACGTTGCGTAACAGTCAAAAATATGAACTGTAGGTGTGAAGTACGGATATAGTCTTGACGTGCTACTTTCACTATTGCCACTATAATGACCACTGCAAACAAAATTCAGAATTAACCTACTGTTTTATGAGTATAATGTACTTGGGGTGTGTTCACACTTGTAGTTCTGTTGCCCTGGTTTTTTGGTCCAAACTAAAAGTTAAAAATAATATTAAATAAGATACATTTGGTCTAAAAAATCCATTTAAGACTCAACAAGAGATAAAAAAAATGGCTTTGCTGATTAATATGACTTACTGTATTAGAACTTATCCATGTCAGTGTACATGATGGTACAGTACAATAAATTCCTCCATTCTTCACACAATTGAAAATCAGCCACAAGAAGGTGTATTTCCAACACACAAGATAAAAAAATAAGCTCAAGTATTCTTTTCCTTTTTATAACCACTTTTTTTGTTCAGTTAGGTTTTGTTTGTGTTGTTCATATTCCAGTGAAAACTCACCAGTTTCCTTGGAAGTGAACTAAAGGCTCATGTTTACAGTGGTTCTTGTCTGCTTGTTTGTTCACTAAGGTTTGGATAACAGCGTTCACACTTATTAAATACTTAACCTACTTTTTAAATACTTAACCTTTTTTAACCACAAAAAATAAACAAATAATATTAAATAATAATATTTAGCACCAACTGAACCAAGTGTGACACGTGTGAACACACCCTTAAAATGTGCAGTGCTGGGGACATCCTGGACCACATACCTAAATAAAACTGATTCATAAAAATGAACGCCTTCCATACAAATATGCCACACAGACTCACACAATGACTTCTACAATCCCCAAAGCAAACATTTGCATACTTAAAACTACAGCCCACCCCCCAACTACTTTAACATAGCCATGAAAAGCTTGAGTAATATAAAACATTTTACATCAACCCCCCCCCCCTCCCTGCACCCCATTTGCCTCCACGTCCCTCCCCTCCCCCACCGTCCCAGTCAGGACATTGTCCATAAGTGATTAGCGATGAGCAGAGCGTGCCAGGAGACGCTCACTAACTGTGTTAGGCAGCCGAGCCGCAGCTCTCAGGCAGGCAGCTGAGCATGCAGATCTCTCACATACTGAAAAGTGGAGCCATATTCCCCCATAAACACACAGAGAGGCACAGAGGATGGCAGGATTCTCTCAGCAAGCACAGGGGACTAGACTAACATTAGATTATGCTTTTAAGAGCTGATTTGTTTGTATTCAAAATGACAATTATGGGTAATAATGACTGACTAGGTAAGAATTTGGTGTGCCTAATATTTAAGAAAAATACCCCAAAGAAAAAGCACTTGTCAGGAGAATCACTGTCCATCTTTCAATAGAGACTACATGTTCAAATGTCACATAGACATAGAATATCTTTGTGAGAATCGACACAGATATTAAAGTGAGGGAAAATGGCTTTCAAAAGTGCATAATGTGCATTGGCAATTGAACAGGACATGCGTGTTACATGACATCTTTGTGCAATCTCAAGAACCGTTAAAATCAATAAATAAATGGACAGGAGAGGCAACAGTGTGGAGAGATTTCAGTTAGTTTAAAGTTTTCTAACCCTTTGATAAATGTTTATTGATACAAAAAACAAGGTGAGAACAACTGAATAAGGCAAAAAATCGTATCTATCTATTTAATCATACACTGAACGAGAATGATTTCCTGTACTGGGTTGTTGTATATGGCCAGAGAATATGCTAAGTTACAAATAGACCAGTCTAAGCTGGTTTAATCTCTCCAATGTTGTGTCTCCTAATCAAGTCATTTATTCATTTTGAACTTTTTCTTTTTTCTTTTTTGCTGATTTCAAACAAAACAGCATATCAGTTGATGAACATTGAAACTGATTATTTACTAAAGTAAGAACTCATCGTTCTCTCTTTGGCTTATTTGTTACTACAGGTTGCATCAAATTGAGACCCTCATGAATCCAATTATAGATACATGAACAGAGCAAATCTATGGAAACATTTTGATTCACCCAAAAATGACAGTCTAATCTAAATACAATAAATTAAGATATTAAAGGAATATAACAGAAGAAAAAAAGCAAAATAATTACTAAATGCTGAAATATAAAATATGGTAACAGGGCTCTAGAATAAAGTCAAAATGACTAGAAAGCCATTGGCTCTTAAAATACTAAATGTAAAAGGCTAATGATTTATGACTAGGCTAACCAATGATGATAAAATATATCGCAAAATATGCAAAATGTTACCTACTGTAGTTCTTTTCAAAGTAGATTAAAAATCACTTATGGTTTAGCAACAGAACTCAGATGATTTACTGACTGACCGAGTCTGTTTCAAATCTCTTCTTTGGGTAAACACAATCTTTAGGTAAAAAGAAAGTTCACCGGAGTCTTTTGAGAAAAGACTAAAAATACAATATCTGATAGGGTTGGGTCGATAGACAATGCCATTGTTCATCTCCGATAGACATCACGATGCTGAGCCAGCAGTGCAGTTCTCTGCCTTGCCCACGTCACAGCCGCAAAAATTACACCCGTTCACACTAATGCATCTTAGTTTCAAAATGGTATTTTGAACGAAAACGATTTACATCCACACTGGTGTTTCATCTAGCATTTCTGAAAAGCCCTCTTTTCACACTATACCGCTGAAAACACACATCTGGTGACCACACGCACACACAAACACACTCTATCATGCACTGTAGTGTACGCGTGCGTCTGAGCTCCAGCAGTCAGTATGTGCTTTAAGCAAAAAACCCCAGAGAGCATTGCAGGTCACACAGTTTATCAAGGATGTATCGCTGCCTGGATCGCGTCTCACTATGGCTGTTAAACTTTATATTCAATTAATGTTATCTCTATCTAACGACTCTTCTGTCTTACAAATCTATCAGGTAACATGTCACAGCATCAGTACACTGCTTTAATCTTTCGCTTTCAGGCTTGTACTTAGTAATTTTAATGAAAACCTCAGATACTTTGTCGACGCCATTATAACAACACAGATTAATTTGCCTATTCATGCCACTCGGAAAAAGTGATTGACAGGTGGTAATTGGTGTGTAACTTATCTTTATTTATTTATGACTAGGTTATGGGTAAAACAAAGACCATGCGGGTCAGGTAGTTGAAGCATTTGGCTGCATTTATTCATAAATAATTAATTTATCTCCACATATGACGACGATGCCATCGTCCATCGCGCTGTTTCACATTGGACATCGCACGATAGGGGTGTCAAAATTAATTGTTTCTTCGGTGCACCGAGATGCAGACGCAGACAATTCGGTATCGGTTCAGTAATAATCATAACCGGTTATTATGTACTGACGTCATTTTTTGAGCGTGAGTATTTACAACACAGCCAACTCAGGGCTGGCCCGTGGCATAGCCACCATACGCAAATGCTACGGGCGCTGTATATCCAGGGGGGCGCCAGAAATGAGCGCGGATCAGTTGGTTTTGTTTTCGATATTGCTGACACACATTCAGTTATAGACGGCAATAACTCTAAAACCTCTTACCCTAAAAAGATCTAAAGTGTGTTTCTTACAAAAAGACAAAGCTGGTTATGTTTCACAGCTGTCTTTCTTTTTTTCGCTCAACATTACGAGCAATGCTCCGTTTAAGCCCTCGCAATATGTGTTTAGCCAGGAGAGCTCGCGCTGAGAGGAGCTTTCAGTAAGGGACAGTCGGAAAAGTGCTTCTTTTTTTCTTTTTTCTTTTTTTCTGCTCCGCTCAGCGCAAGCTCTGCCTGTTGCGAGGGCTTTAGTGTGTGTGTGTGTGTGTGTGTGTTTGTTTGTTTGTTTGGTGCTGTCTATGTTTGTGTATGTTTGTAAATGAGAGACAGTGTGGTGCTGTGTCTCTGTGTGTTTATACAGACAGCTTGTTATAGCCTCCCCCCTAAAATATAACACTGTATATGGAAAGAATCGCCAATGCACCGTGATGCACCGAGATATCGAATTAAACAGAATCGAAGGCATGATAATCGTAATAGAACCGAACCGTGAGACCAGTATAGGTTCACACCTCTATCGTACAATGACAAATTGGTTGACATCACCCAACCCTAATATCTGACTGTCACCAATAGTGATGAAAGCTTGCTGAAAAGGATTATTTGAAAGTATGTAGCAACCATTTCAACTGCAGTCTAGAGCCCTGTTAGTGGACTTCTAAATAAAAGCAAACATCAAATACTGCTTTCATTTTGACAACTAGACACCTTGTCTGTCATTTTTGGGTTCAAGCATACCTTTAGTCATCACAGCAGTTTGAGATCACAGAATCTCTTTACTGATTCCTTTATGCTTCGTTCCATTTGAAAGTAACAGCTAACACAAACCTCTTGCTTGCTGTTTGTTCCACAGTTCTGCAAGATACTACTTAACCACTGACTATTATGTCCTAATTAATCAAATCTAAAAGAATCCTCCACTCTGCACTGCTAAAGGCAATGGTAATCCATGCTGGAAAATACAGAGAGATACAGAAGCTTAGCAAATATCTCCCTCCTTTCTACAGTCCCATGTGCAGATCCTAGACAAGCAAAGAGGGGCGAAGTGAGCCTCCAGCGGCTCGGCTCCTCAACACTGCTCCAGGCCGGGCAGCGCGGGGCCGAATGGGCTGAAGTGAACAGTGTGAAATGAAGGGAAGGGAGGGAAGATGCTGCACGGTGCTGCAGATGAGGGGCAGGGAGGAGGTGAGAAGGGGTTCAGAGGGTACAGAAGCTCAGGGCAACCAGTCCACAGGTAAGAAAAGAAAGACTGAAGTGACAACAACCAGGTGCAACTGTTCACAACCATCAAAGGGTTAAGGGGAGCCTATCTTTGCCAAATTTGCTAGGATGATGACTAATAATGACCTGTATGAAATCCAACATTCAGCGTCGACAAATGATTATCAATACTAGAAAACTGTCACTCAGAAGTTCTTCTCAGCATTCTTACTCTTTGGCTAATAGGAAATAGCACATTTTTTTCATCTTGACAATCTTGCCCTTTGCTAAGCTCCACCTTAAAACGCAATGCAATGATTTTTCCAAGTATGACATTAGTTCTAGGGACAACATCTTTGGTTGATCTTGGAACAACATTCCCATTCAGGAACTTTGTCTTGACCCTAACCGTATCCCTTATAACTATCACCTACCCCCCAATTATTATAGGTAGTAAATGGCCAAAACTATTGTTTAAGCCTAAACTTGACATCCAACTGTAAATGTATATTGGTTGAATGTTGTTCCAGGTTCATGTTCTACTTGGTAAAATCATGCTAACCTTAAAACGTCTCTGACCAATCATGCCTTCACATTTTTTGTCATACAATATGTCATGTAAGGGTTGGCTTTATTTATAATAAAGTCAAGGATTAACCTCTATTTGAATAGTTGAAAATTAAAATTTAACAGAAATTACTGAATTAAACCGCACTGTTTAGGATTATTTTACATCTCCCTATTCCTGTTTACATCTGGTATTAGAAAGAAATCTGAAGTGATCACAAGAGATGCATCATTGTTAATACCAGGTGGATGCATCTTGGGTGACCACTTATGAACAGATCACTGAAGATAAACTTTAATACCAGGTAAAAACAGAGCCTTCGGTGAATACAAATATTCAAAGACAACATTTGAGATTTTGAATTTCTTCACAGAAAGATGGCAGATTAAATATTATTCCTATACGATACTTAATTCCATTCCATTTATTACTACTTAATTTTCTTTACAGTTCATCAGCATGCTTTATTGACAGTCATGCAAACATCAAGCAAAGTGTAGCTTAGCAAAGGGTCAATAATATTAAATGTGCTCTGATGTTTCATCAGCATATAGGGCTAGTATCTAGTCTACTGTAGTGCTGGTGTAGTGGCGTGCTGCTGGTTGTTCTCTGAGAGACAGGGTCAGTGTAACAGAGGAGAAATGGAAGGAAGGGGGCTCTCCATCAAAAGCAGAAGTTGAGAGTCAGGCCAAATGAACAGCCAATTGCAGATCAAATGCTGTGTGAAATGAAAAGGAATTTGAATGGCGTTGTGTTTGGATTTGTCAATCATTTTCCATGCTGTTTTTTTTTTTTTTTAGCAAGGGCCAATTGACATTACTTGTAATGAGGCAGCTTTGATAAATTTGACAACAGCTTAGCTAAACTAGTAGTCAATCGTACACCCGATTTCAGGTAAATCAGGGAACAGAGGTGCTTTTCACATCTTTTTATCTCAGCTGCGTCATGACTGGATCATTAATGTGGTACAGAAGAGGTGTGCATGAAAAGGGAGAGTCCTTTTCATTGGCGGCTGTCTTAAAAAAAAATTAAAATCCCCCGGTATGGTTTTGGTGGTCCTTGTCGTTCGTTTTTTTTTTTCTCGATCAGTTCTAGCATGCTGTAACTGCTGAATGGGCATGCAGAGAGATCAGCTCTATAGCTTTGTATCTTACCCTCATCCCTTCAAAACGTGACAATGCTCTGAGGGGTCTCAGGGCCCTTAGTGTCCTGAGTGATTTAATGGGCCCTAGATCGGAGTAGCCCAGCGCATTAGCTATAAGGCTGACTATAGACACCTACACAGAAACAGAGAAGCAAAAAAGGATCCATACTGTTAGATGGGAGAAAGCTCTTGAGGGAAGAGTTGGCCTCTAGAGCTGCTGGAACGTTGATTTACACACATTACAACAGTTTGGATGGGTATATACATATATAACACCGCATTTATACATGTATATATCCCCAAGGAGAAGAGAGAGAGAAAGACTCATGTTTAGTATTGGTTACAGGTATAGATAGGGGTTTAGAGGCAGAGGATAAACCCAGGGTTTTGTACTCAAGTTAGTTTTGGGAGGTCACCAACCCTTGTGAGCTTCCTAACACCTGTGGAGAAACTGTGGTTGAAAGAGAGAGACAGAAAGAGAGAGAGAAGCATAAGACTCCAACAAAAGAAGACAGAGAAGCGCAAAACTCATGGCGGATGAAGTACGTTAGGGGACGTGGGGTTTGAGAAGATAGTAGTGAACCCTGCAGGTGCATTAAAAACAAACAACCCAACATACTGCAAGAACCTTACCCTTGCCCTTCTAACATTGTCTCTCCGTGTCGCTCTTGGCTGAGGCATTAAATCCCATTTAATTTAAGACAGACAAACTAATGGAACCTGTGAGAAAGAATACAGGTAAACATGTACATGTATGCCAAGTTGCAATTCACATTGATTTTACAGTTTAAAGAGCATCACATTGACACAGTAATGTGACAGCGGAGGGGGAAATCAGGGCAGATAGTAAATGGACATTAGACAGCACTAAAAGGACAAAAATCACTTTGTGGGAACCCAAGCCTTGGTTAATCTCAAAATGCCATTCTCTGCAGAAAGGTAAACGCCCTCCATGCTTGATGAAAGCAGAAGGCTAACATAAGCGCAAAGGTCATATTGGTCAAAATGGCTCTCTAGAGAACTGTATTGATTATAATACAACCGTCAAAGGAGTCGATGTAAGGTATTGGTGTAAAACAGGGATGTCGAAAAAGACTTGTAATTTGTAACAGCGATTACAATATTTATTTTGCTACCACACATTGTTAGTTTTAAGGTGAATCCACAGAAAGATTTTTGGCAATCAAAATCTACGCATTTGCCTCCACTTAGGGTTGGCAGCCCTTGATGACTTACTGTAGGTGAGATATGCTTATTCACGCCTCTCCAGTGTTTCCCACACATAGACCGCCCTGGTATATTAACGACCGCCCAAGTATATTTAGTGACACTCTTTTTTTACTATTATTATACTATTAAATACACACCTTTTACACTTTTTGCATCTGCTCAACATAACCAAACATCCGCGACCGATTAAGTAGTAGAAAAACCTCTCTCGTTTACCCATTTTGTTCTGTGCCCATGAGACCTGTCAACACTCATGCAGACAGCTTCACAAGCTCTGCAGACCCACAGAGATGCGCATTTTTCGGACTTAAAAAAATCATCCGGCCTGGGTTTCTAAGGATGCTTTCACACTTGGTTCAATTGCCTGGACAGTACCCAAGTTCGATTGTCCCCCTTTGCCACCTTCTCAGTTGGTTTGTGTTCACACTGTCTTTTTTCCTTCTGAACCGCAGCTGCTGCTGTGTGTACGGCTGTCGCTAGGTGACCACAAAAGCAAAGCACCAAAATTGAAAGATGTACGCACATTGTCGTCATTCTGTTTTTACTGAATCTTTTGGTTTTGGACAAACAGAGAGCAACTTGCGTCTCTATCTGCCAAAAAAATATTATAAACGTTCAGAACATCACGCAATGTCTGCAGAAGCTGTTTTTGGAAGAGACAAGCAGATATTATCACTTTGTTTGCCCTGGCTCAGTCCCGCTTGTCACCAAGGTACAGTTTGTGATACGCAAAAAAACATACACACGAATGAATGTTACGAAAACACAAGTTTGTAGTACAGTTGGCGGTCCAATTACGTTATTTGAAACGATTGCATTCATACCAGAAGTAAACTGTACCCCAGACCACCCCTTTCAGGCAGACTCTAGCTAAATGTACCGAACTCTGACGTCAAACGAACCTGGGTGAGGACCAAAAGTGCTAGTGTGAAAGCACCTAAATCTCCTAAAATGTCTGGAATTCAACTTTTGCTTTCTAAAGCTGGTATGTGTTTTTGCATTACTTTTTAATTAAAGATTACTTTCCTCCTGGTTTCACAGCTGACAGTACACACACAGCTGCGAGACCAAGAGAAAAGTAAATAATAGATTCATTAATTTAAATGACTCAAAAAAAACTTCATTATATGTTCAGAGAAGATGAAATGACTGGTCTAAACTGGCTGTAAAATATTTGTACACCATAAGAAATGGTTAATCAATGCATTTGCCTTATTTAAAAAAATCTATTCGTTTTAATTTTGCAATTATGATCATTTTTAGAGATATTGTCTGTTTCTATTACCTTTTTTGTCATTTACTTCTTAATTGTTGATTATTTTATTAATTTGATGATTTTAATATATTACATATGCTATTTTATAATCATATCTAAAATGCTTTTGCATTCAAGTTTGCTTTGAACTTGAAAGAAAGAGAAGCAGATTTCACCTGTCAGTGGGTGCACATGGCTTCTGAATAGCATAAAAGTATTAATTTTTATTGCGTCTTTTTACTTTAACCCAATGAAAAAAAACAGTGTATAACAGAGTCATAATACATACAATTATTATTAAAAATGAAAATATGTTTTGTTTGTCGCATATAGTTAACTATTTATTTATTTATGTGATGTGGGTAAATGGTGTGTATATTTCAAACCTGTGGGAAGCAATGATCTGCAACCATTAGTTTGGTTCAAGTAAAAAATGAGAAGCGGAGCGCAAAAATAAAACCCGCCCCCCACTCAATATTCAAATTCAGCTGGAAATACTTCATCCTACTGAAAGTAAAAATCTGCAGCAATTTGCTGTTCAAGCGGATTTTAAGGAACAAAAAAAGGCATTGGGACACCAGGCTTGAGCACCCCAATGAAAAGGTATACAAACAGACCTGCACACCTCCAACCAATCACTGACGTAGACTTGGTAAAAACACAGCAAAAGTCCACAACACTGAAAGCTAACCAACTCACAGAGGGGATTCTATTAAAGGTGAAAGCTTTATTCTCAATGCTGATGGTATTATTTTCCTTCACTGATGCATGCTGACATTTTAAAAACCACAAGTCTAGAATTATTGGTGGTTTTCAATAGATATAACCCACAAGGGGACCAAGTACACATTAACAGTCTGGCACAGAAAAATCTTCTGTTCAATTCTTTGGGGAAAAACTATGCATTTCATGTTGCGTTAACTAAAATTGACATATTAAAAAAAAATCTCTTCATTTTTTTCCTGAAGTTTCACAAAATCCGTTTTGATGATAATGTGTAATAAAGCTTTCTCCTTCATCTACAGATCATGTGATCTTTGGGGGTAATTATCACCTTTAGCCTCAGTTGGAACCCACAAGCGCCCCTTTATGGAGGGCCCCGGGGCCCCCTGAGCCGTCTGAGATGGCCCCTCAGTGTAAGCTCTCTTCATCTGCCAGCACACTCGCTCTGCAAGGCAAGGTCAATGAGATGTGTGGCTGTGACCAAATGAAGACAGCAAAATAAAAAGCAAAATCAACTGAAATTGAACAAAGTCAAAACATAATCAAAAATGGCAGATGTTTTGCGCTCACTCATACCATTAAGTGATGCTTATTATGCTTATTAAATTAATTTAAAGTGAATAAAGCACTATAATAAAATACGTACTTCTGAAATGAATTATAACTCACACACTCCCTTAGCATTAAAGAAAATGTGTGCATAGTCAAATAATAAGCTGTATGGTTGATGGCACAGATATATAGTAACACAGACCATAGGAAATAATGGTACATATGCAGTATATACACACACATAAACACAAAACCGCATGCTAGATATGATGCCGGCTCCTGGTGAAAGCCCTTGGAGCATCACACCCATGAATGCAAAGAACAGTGGAGGAACAGACTAGTCAGGAGGACAACTCACCGTCTGCTGCATGTCCTCAACATCAACACATCTCAGCACTACCTCAAGGAAGGGAAGAGCAGGTGTGAGTGGGGGAGGGAGGAATGAACTTTTGATCCATCTTGGGATATGGAGTTCTTCCAAACTAGCACAAGTGTAAGTCCAGCACCCCGGGAATAGTCACAGAGGACTATAGCTCCCATCAGCCGCAATTAGGGCTGAGAAGTAGGGGGGTTGATGGACATAGGATGAGTATGAACTGTAATCAGAGCAAACTCACAAGTCTGAGGGGTAATTTTTAAGCTGTGGGCTTGATTCCTCAAAGGAGCACTCCACTGATTTTGGAAATAGGCTCTTTTTACAAGTCACCTAACAGTTGAGTTTTCCCTTTTTGAATTCATTCAGCCAATCTCCGGCTCTGGCGGTAGCACTTTTAGCTTAGCTTAGCATAAATCCTTGAATAGGATTAGACTATTAGCATTTAGGGTTATCACAATACTGGAATTCGAAACCAATCGATACAGAAATTTTGAAAACGTCCATTTCCCACAAACATTTAAGTGCTGTTGAGCATGTTCTTAAATACCGGTGATTTGCCATGTTGTTTAACGCCAGTGGCGTAGCGTGATTAGGGGGCCCCGCGTCGTCGCGATTTTCAATAATTGGAAATCCGGCAACCGCAATAATCAAACTCTTGGGAAAAACTGTTGTCGGAACCAAAGTTTAGAGGTCTGTGTTCTCTGAACTCCTCTCAAGCGGTGGACTACTTCATTTTGATTGCTTGCCGCCGAACCGCGTCATAGCTCATACCATAAAGTTGACTTGATTTCAACTCTCCTCGATGCCCACACCAGAGAAGACGCGCCGTGCTGTTCCTCGCCGCCGGTTCTCATTGAAAATGAATGACTTCTGGCTACTTTGACGCTCTCGCCGCTTTCGGTTTGTGATTGCTGCTCAGTTTGTGAAGGCTTCCCCGCGTTGTTGCTCCACCCCGCCCCCCCTTTGCCGCTCCAAGATTGTGATCGCTCCTCAGTTT